TAAATAAATATATATACTAATACATGGTCTACTAAATACAGTATTCAAGGACAATAACCAATTGACACTATGTACATGATAGATTATAGCAAGAGTCCATAATGGAGATATATAGTCTCTATTATGGACTCTTGATTATATAGTCACCTGTAATACAATAGTAGCGTTTTCCTGCATGTCTCTGAAGGTAATCGTTCCTGAGGTTTGTGCAAACTCAGCGTCTCGTGGAGTAAGTTGCCAAGTAACTGACACCGCGCCGAATTTTCCCACACCTCTGTTTATTCTGTCCCACAGCAATTATTAATGTCATTTAGAACTGAAATCTATTATTAATATCATGGTAATAATTTAGCAGCAAACCCAAATTTGAAATATTTCTGAATGTTTTTCACATCAGAAGGAGAATGACATAGCAAACAGAATCGCACTTCAAAGTCTAATAGGTCTTCCTTATCTATAAACCAATTTCAAAAGTTGAGACATATATGTTACATTTCGTGCATTTACATTAATATATATACATGTTCTGTAATAAAAGTTACACCACGGAATACACTATGACACTCACACAACTTCTGTGGTGCCATCATAGTCTTCGCTCGGTTCACCGATGCTCACATAGCGATACTCAGGCAGGATGGTTATGACGCCACTCGCCCCTGGGTCCGACTGAATGACCAGCATGGCATCACCTGCAAAACACACACATAAATACACTCAGTGACATCTACAGGAATTCATTTTGTAAGCAGATTTGTACTTATTTGGTTACAACTTTATAAAAATATATCTAATAATAAAAACCATGCACGACCAACTATACTCTATATATCTATCTATATGTATATATACTCTCTTTTAGAAGAGAACCTTATGGATTAATGGGTTTATACTCACTACTACTGCTACCACAACATGATAATCTTTATTAAGCTGGGATGTCAAGTTTCCCTTGGCAAGTTCAAGTCAAGAAGATACAATGTAAACTGGAAGACATCTACTAAAAATATCTCATCTATAAACACCATAAGATATTCCTTAGATGTTTTATGAGATATCCATGGGATCATCTGACAAAGTGACATCAGAGCTAAAATTTATGTTTTTGTAGCCATTTCAGGCTGCCAACACTAAACGCACCAATTAAAAAATCCACTGCAAGTTAATTACCAAGATTAGGAGAGATGTCCGCATTGTTGTCTGCAGCCACCAGAGAGATGGTGTATTGTTCTTCTCCTTCCAAGTAGTCATCTGGTATCGTTTCCAGAAATATTGTTTTCACTGTCTCACCCTATTGCGATCAATAGTAGTGACGAATTAGTCTGATGCGAAACTTCGTAAAACTTCATTTACAATTGTGCAATGAAATGCTTATTTCTACATTATTAAAATTCCTTAAATTATAAAAGTATTCAATTGCCACGTCTTCATGCAACAGAGACCATTAATTAACTGATTACTATTTCGCACAGATGTGAGTTAATTACAAACACTGACTGATGCTGATAATACAAAATTAATTACAAGAAAATCGTGCATGTTACTGAAAGGCTCACAAGGAAGTGCAAGGTCTGTTAGTTATGAACCAGATCTAATGACCGTACTCTGTTTTGTATGTACTGTATCACTCGGAAATTTTATTATTTTAACGGCTCAACACTATTACATTTATCAGATTTTTTCTCCATGAAAAATACGTACTGTCTGTCTGTATTTGTACATGTACGAATTACAAGTAATAAAAACTTAATAATAACAGTATAATGCAACTTTAATTGTTTACCTCTAAAAAGGTTAGGTTTCCTTGCATGGGCTGGATGTCAAACACAGCATCAGAGCTCAGCTTCCAGGTGACATGTACCCTTCCTTGAGCACCTTGTGTGCGGACCACGTCGAACCGGACCCTGCCGTTGGGATCGCCAAACGTCTCTGATTCCAGAACTGATTTCTAAGGAGGAAGCAGAAGAGAGGAGTGAATCAATCCTCCAGAAGTTTCCTGATTAGAATTCACTTCTGTTTGCCGACTTGGCACAGCGTGTGATTAGAATGTGTATGAAATCTGCACGATACAAAACAGAGTCAACGTTACTGTTAACAGTTATTTCTATATAACACTGCACACACAAACCTGTGTATCAGTGAAACTAAAGAGGCCATTTGGTGAGTCATTCTTCAGTATGTTGATGACAACATATCTATCCGTGCCTAACTCTGCACCACCCTTAGCCTCCAGAAGTTGCACACTGAATGACTAAAAAGAAAAAAAAAGCAGACGAAACATTACCGAGAGTACATCTTTATACAGATATATTGAAATTACCATACTTGTTGTGCGTAATAATTTTACTTGTTGCACGTGTTGAATGTACTTGGTGTACTATGAGATGAGTAGTGAAAAATATTCTTATAGGCTTGCTAATTATTACAAGGGCAGAGAAACACCCAGAGAACAGCCGTTTACTGCACGCTAGCCTAAGAGGGCATGCACTCACTTCGTGGTACTCTGGGAGCGGGTCGTCAACTATCTGTATGTCGATGGTCGCGTGACGTTGCTGGTGTCCAAAGATGACCTCTCCACTGAGAGGTTTAAAGTCGGCGGCCGACGCGCTGTCTGGTATCGCCTGCCAGGATACGCTCACCTTCCTGTAGGCGCCCTTAGTACGAGACAGTCCCAGCCGCACTGAGCCGATGCCTTCATACACCTCCACGACACCCAGTGGCGTCTGAAATAAAAAACACACATTGTACTGGCTTCATACTTTTGCAGAACGAGTGGATTAATTACTGCAAGCAACGAGGAGGATTAACCAAAGCACTTCAGCGGCATTATCCCAATGCAAGAAGGTATAGTATACCGTCTTTCAAATCCATGTGTAGTTGTCAGACTACGTTGGCAATGAGAATTCTTCTTACCCTCGTGACATTGAACTGTATGATGCCTCTTGCATTGTCGTTTTCATTGATTGACACCGCCATGGTCTCATCGTCAGGTCGTTTTACACTGGGCACTGCTCCACCCACGGAAACCCCTCCTGCCAGACTGACTCCAGTGATGTTGACGAGAAATACCTCATCACCTTCTGGTAGGTCATCCTTGAGGAACACATTTATTCATTATTAATTAATTAATTAAATCAATTAAAACATTAATTAATTACACATGAAAACTTGCGGTGAGACTATAATATGTACACAAAACCTGGGTTAATACTATCATTTATGCTGGGGATATCTTTATTGTTATAATTGTATAAGAAAGGAATACAGTATCTCTAAATATTATATGTATATATATATATAAACCGTAATCTATATAATGGCATACATTGATAGGAGTAGTTCTATACTTCGTCGCAGGCTACATGTTAAATTCAAGTTTAGATATCCATTTTATTATACCATTCTACATATATGATATTGCATCCTTGCACGGTAAAAACATAAGCATACAACTAAACGTGAATATAATTACTGGCAAAAGGAAGAGGTCTACATCCGCTTCTCCCATGCCAGCTTCCATGCTAATAGAACCTTGTGTCGCTATATAGTCCTGTCCAGATATTGCTTGAGCAGAATCTGGCTGGTTCAATGCACGAGCAGTACTGCAAGACGAAAATCATTATACGTCCACCATAAGCATCATATCTACTTTTCTTCGATAATAAAATTTAATTACTAAGTAGACAACATTAATAAACCTAAGTAAACAATAAATTCTACGAATCTATTCGGGTTTAATAAGCTGACTTTAGCAATAAAACATGAGGTGGGTATTACCTGTACGATATGACAATGGTACCCATTGTTCCTTGCTCACGAATGACTTTTAGGGAGACCTTTGAACCTTGGCCCAATGGTTCATCAAAGTTTGCCCGTGTCTTCTCCCAGGAGACGACACCATGGGGCGAGTCATTAGCCATAACAGTAATCCTCGCTACATTATTTTTCCCTGTAAGTGAATCAAATAATTGGGACAAGGTTTACTATCTGCCATTTAAACAGTAACCTCGCACCAGATTCTTTACTGGCAAGGCATCTAGTGATTGCGTAATACGGCGTTTCAACGTACGCATAGAGACAGAGATTTTGAATACATTAGTAAAAACAAGTTACGGAGACAGCCGGAATTAGACACAAAGCACATTAGCTACCTCGTTAATAGCTCGTTAATTGGCCGTACGGGGAACGGCCACCTGGGTAATTAAACCACATTAACCGCAGCAAAAATGCTGTCTAGTTTATGACCATGACATCATGAGGCACCACGACGACAAGATAGTGCCCGAGAGATCCCCCAGTCGACGATCGTACATGGAGCTACAGACACTACTGCTCATAGGGTCTATGTCCCCCAGGGTACTGCCGGAACGTACCCTGGGTACGGTCCGGTATACCGGGACGTACCCTGGTAACTATTTGATATGGTTAGGGTTAGGGTTAGGGTTAGGGTTATGGTTAGGGTTAGGGAGTAGGTGTAGGCGACTCCTTAGACTCGTTAGTGGAGTAGGCGAGGTACGGTCCGGCATATTAGATAGTACCAGCAGGCCTCGACGCTTATTTTCAGATCTGGTTGTCCTGTCGGGCAACAAGAAGCAATTTTTACTTGTCCGAATTTTGATTTTACTTGTCCAAAATTTACTTGTGCAATCTATGAGCCGTTAATGTCCTCTTTTGGTTCAGTGCATATCATATTATCAGAAGTGTATAATATAGAGATCTATATTATATAAATAGATATATATACATATATAACATATATAGATAGATGTAGATATATATATATATTATACACTCCTGATATTTTTGCCAGTATTCCCTGCGTGCATATAGGCTCGCACATACCTAGGCATGTGTCTGCGCGCGCGTTTGCATGCGTGCGTGCGTGTGTATTACACTTACAGTATATATACGGTAATTACTTGTGTATAAACCGCGCTTTTTGTACACAACTTCAATAAAAAAAATTAGGGGGTGCGACTTATAGACGAGGTTAAGAAATCTTGTTAATGTACCAATGTTTGTACCAACTTTTCAATGCAAAATATGGGGTGCGACTTATAATATACATGAATTATACTTATACACGCGTAAATACAGTACATGCAAATTGCAAAATCGTAATGAAATTCACACATTTATGTTTGCATGCTGGCACGCTCATTGTGTGTCATTACCGATTGCAGCTTTTTCCTCAATCACAGGAAAGAGTTTTGCTGTCAGCCTCTCATCCCAGCGATGCCTACCCCCTACATATTCAATAATGAATATGCCCCAACCGACTTATAAACAATTGTATCCCCACCCCAGTACATAAATCAATGCCGCCCCGGCCAAGGAGGTATGCATTGCCGCTCTGAATAAATCTGTAATGGTAACAGTGGGTGTCGCGGGCTGCTTTTTTCAGGGACCTTTGATAACGTTTGAAATGAGTGCGATAGCGCCCTGGGTCAGAGGATGTTAGGAATATTAAACAACTAGAACTTTTCAGTTGTCCGATCGGGCAACTAGGCAAGAGAATAACTTGTCCGACATAGACTTTCACTTGTCCCGGGCAATCGGACAACCGTTAGTGTCGAGGGCTGTACCAGGGTACGTTCCGGTATACCGGACCGTACCCAGGGTACGTTCCGGCCGTACCCTGGGGGACATAGACCCTCTCAGCGACACTACTGTCGCGACCGGCCAAATTGCCCATTTTTGGTCACGTTGTCCATTGCCCGCGATGTATGCTAACAAGTCCGAGAACAGTCGAGGATTCCATGTTTAGATCTATGTTAAGACATACATATGTACAGACCTGTACACAACACTAGCAGGCACAATACAAGAAACCTACATATGTAGGCTGTAGCACCCATGTTGAACACAAACTGTAATCATGCTTGCTTACGACTAGCTGAAAATATGTACGACGTACATAGCCATGTAATTTCGCATTGCTTGTGTCTTAATGTTTCTTTAGCTTGAACCAGGTAATTATAATTAAATTACAAAATTTGGTATTCATGAATGCGTTACGTTTTTTTCCATAGATGTAAATATTTTCTCGTTAAGGGTTTAAGATGATTTACCTACCATAACCTTGATGTTACAATATACGACTGCTTAACATTGTGTCTACAGAAGCAAAACTAATTTTTTTCTAAACACTGCCTCTAGTCAGTATCGATACTGGCATGATTACTAGGCCATGCATCATCAATACTTACCGATTCGTGTCCGTTTGTCAGGACTGCCTGGGACACTGACATCAACTAGCGTGACTAGAGTGACCTCGTCTAATTCGGGTCGAGGATCGGGTGCAATAGTGATAGTGATAGTAGTTTTATCCTGCCCATCTGCGAAGTCCACCTACAATATAAGGCAAGGTGCGTAAACAGAACTACTTTTCGAGAGGATTAAGTATTACAGATTAATTTCACATTTATTTTCGCATGTGTGCGCGTAGTTTTGCACCGAGCCATAGCCCTGCCAAATAAATACGCATATAGTTAGTTTGTTGAGAAGTCCTCTCATAGGTTACATGCTTTGTGGCCTACACTACTTGCCCTCAGGGGAAAAAACACTGTATTCCTAAAGGGAGCAGGTATAGCCACGTGCGGGTTATTCTGAGCAGTTGACTTTTTGGTATCTTCTTTGTTCTGGGGGAGGGGAACTGCCCCTTCGCCCCCCCCAATTGCTACATCCCTGTCTACATATGAATCGGTATGGCCAATACATAGGCAATGACATCCGCAGACATTCATCAGTGCTGAAGCGTAACATGTAGGCTGCTAGGCGCATGCTGTAATGTAGCTCTATAGAACTCTCATCACAGGCCTGTGGCAGAGTGAAGGGCTATAGTTCTAGAGCTAGCTGTAACGATACGTTTGTGGAGCACTGACCCTAGAAGCATTAACCACGTCAATTAATTATCCTTGTCAACAACGCACATTCTTTCTCACTGTGCCGCGCTGCACTTTCTAAGATCAACCATTACCGGCATTCGCCAGTGATTCATCAACCACACTATAATCAAAGAACGTGTACGGTCTTTTCTAGTGATAGAGTGAGAAAAATGGTCCAGGTGCCAAATTTATTGAATTAGTGGAAAATTAATAGGTCGATAGACAACGTTTAATATGCCTTGGTGGGCTGCAATAGGACATGCTAGACTGATTTAGGGTAATGATTGCAAACGATATATAAAGACACCGACACCAAGCCGCGAGAAGGCTACGACTTTCCTCTACAGAGATAACCACAGATCTATAATATTGCTGCCGAAAACTGTGAAGCTATAAGGTAAGTAAACATGCAGTTAAAAAAGCTTAGGATATTACATAATAAACAATTCAAGTATTTTGCGTATGTATTCTTGAGTAGCTGGGTTACGGAATTTCAGTTGTTTTTTTCTGAAACGGATTTTATCCATAAGCTAGCTGCGTAATTACTCTACCACATTTTATGTTTATATCACTTATTAGTATTTTTGGCATCTCATTTAGGCATAGGAATAATCACTATTCTTATATTATTGCCTATTTCCTGTTTTTGATCATTTATATATTGCCAATAACGATATAACTTTTTGCCGACATAAAGTGAAATTTTTTCAAAGTAATATGTTTGTAGATAGATTTCCGAACATCATTATAACCAAGAAAATAGTCTTGCTGTAAACAATAAGTTCTTATTTGTAAAAAATAATGCATCACTGTTTAACCCACAGACACTGCACACAATGACGAAATTGCACGTATTTGTTATAGCCATACTGCTCCTCTCTACTCTTGAGGTACGTGTAACAGTTAGAAACACGGTAAACATCCATCTTAAAGTGCTAGAGTCTATGATGTAATAGATATGGCCGCCAAATTAATAATTCCTGTACCAATATGTGAGTCGAATTATAGCATGTGTGTGAAGTTATTTCCTAGTTCAGTTCCTTATTTTCAAAAAAGTAAATGGTTATGAGTCTTTTATAGTCTTTCTGAGCATGAAAAACCATTCTGCGTTCGAACCTTACCTAGTAACAATGGTGTTGAATAACGGAAGAATGAGGAAAGTATTGGTGTGATAACTGCTGAAAAATCACTAGATGATCTAAAGCACTTAATTAATCAATCTTAATTTACAGGACGCAACCAGTCAAGATAGTCAGGAGTTCACTGCGTCATTCAAAAGCCTCTTCGATGGTATATGCCTGCATGAATTTTTACGAGAGAGTTGCAGCAGAGACGGGGGAAACGTGGAAGGCTGCACCCCAGGCTTCAGTGTCTCCAGATGCGTATGCAACTCTGACAAAACAATTTGCAGGAGGGTAACAGTACTAATATTCCATTTTAGACTGGTTTGGTAAAATCACAGAAGTCTGATAAGCACTGCATAGTTTGAGTATATAATGCTAATGGCCTTTTCCAACTGATAGGCACTGACGATAAAAATTCCTGGTTCCATTTGCTCATTTGCGGTTTACTAAATATAACTTTCCCACTCATTATTATTATGAGGTTATGCCAGCGTTATACAAATCACAGCTGTTATTGGAATATTTAACCATGAGATGTCCATCTTGCGTTGAGGTAGTAAGCAATATGACGTATGTATGACTTATTCAAAACATACGTGGCGTGATACTAATTACACCTTATCTTTTCAGCTAAGAATACGGAGAAACCCGTGTTCGTGCGTTCTCCCTAACGGAAATAGATTCTGGGACAACGATGTATGCTACAGACCCAAGGTTCAGAATGCCAACAGCTGCAGCTGCAATAATGCTAATGTACAACTTGTTGACTGTACTATACGTTCTTAATAATACTGGAAGGGACAGGATCAATACGCTGACACTTTTCGTAAAAAAAAACTATAATTAAAAGTATTTAACAGGCTGTTATCAGTTTCTTACAAACAGGTTAATTCAAAGCTTGATATATGGGTTACTGATGTGTTGACAATTAATGACTAGTTGAGTCTTATTCTTCATACGTGATGTAAGTTCCAGCAATGATTACAAGATTATTAAAATAATATTGTGTGTAGTGAAGACAATGACACTAGCATCCTAGAATCATGAGAAATAAATTGGTGTCCTGGATAAAAGCAACACTCATGCATCTTATTGCGTTAATTCTTTCAATTCATGCCCTTGTCCTTCTGAACTCACCTTTCCTCCAATCGGGTATATGTCTTCAATTCCATCGTGCTCCCCTGTTGTCATCCATTGCACGCTAATATGCCCAGAGGTACCCTTGCTTCTTACAACGGTTAGGGTCACTTGGTTTGGGACGGTTCTTTCCTCTACTTTTACATCAAGGGAATCCTATCCCAAATAAAAATATCCCTTTAATGTGTTTAAAGAAAAATAGCACACATTACAACTTTATTGTATATTCAGGTTTTTTGTGTTAACATTCCCGACTGCTTACAAAGACAATCATCAATGAATATAGATATGTTCCTGAATATATACAGTGGCGGATCCAGGATTTTGAGATGGGGGGGGGGGCGCAACTGCATAGCGAGGATTTCATCTTAGGGGGTGCAGATTTTGTGATAGTGCTGGTGCGCACGCATCGCGTTCTGAATAGGAGGGAACAAAAAATAAGGGGGCGCATGCCTCTTGCATCCCCCCCTTGGATCCGCCACTGATATATATATATAAAATCATGAACATATCTATATTAATATGTACACATAAGTTCATTTGATTATATTATTTATTGATACATTAAGCACTTAATATTGCAAGTCATCTGCTAAATCAAGTCACCAACACGCAGTAGTCATCAGCGAAGATGTTACCGAAGCGTAACGTCAGCTGTACGTTTCCAGTCTTCACGGTTGAGTAACAATTAACCCAGTTAGATCTATTAGTCTACCAACCGAATGAACTTATTTAATGAGAAGATGTTACCTCTGAAAACTCAACGACACCATGAGCATCATCGTTTGAGAGAACAGTGACAGTGATCCTATTCTGTGGCCCAACCACGGAACCTCCTCCTGGATCAGTTATTCTAATAATGAACTGTTCATCCCCTTCCGGCCGCGTGTCATCGACTATGCCAACACCAACAGTGACCTTTGACTGACCTGGCTCAAAAGTGACTGTCTCTCGCCTATTAACAACCAACCACAATAACATGAGTGTTTTAGTAGAATGAAAGATATACACGGTTTCATCAATCTAAAGAATTGTAGTAGATGTAATGTGCCACTAGACCACCCTTTATTCATTATCATGTGATTTATATCTAGCTATCTCTTATAGGTTATATTACTGTTGCAATGCAACAAAATTACATGGAATGTGCACCTTGGTACAAAATCAGAAGTTGTGGTTATGCTGGCGAGCAGGTAAACGTTAGGAAGCTTTCCCACTCCAGATTCCACCAGCAGATGAGACTGTTGAATGCCTGATCCTATAGCCACTGGGAAGAGATCATGCGCCGGCCTGCTGTTGACAGCATGCTCGAACACTGCATTTGCATCGTTCCAAGCCCATATAGTCGAATTCGACTGCGTGCAAGCCAGCACCACGAAAACTAAAAAAAAGAAAAAGTAAACCGTGGACGTCCTATCAGATTAAACTTAAAGGCAGCTATTATATATATATATTGTAACAAATCTAGAAATTTGTCAGTAGGAAATGTTGCTATAAGTCTATATGAATAGCATAGAATAGGATTATGAGATGTGCTATTAGCATACAAACCTGTCTCGTATGTTGTGAAACTATGTACTGTCTGAACTCCATGAGTAGGTATGTACTGAATTGGCATAAACAACTTTGTAGAGCTTTTAAACCTAGAATAGAAACTGACAGGTTTATATACTGCTGAAGAACGTTCATATTTTGTAATGTACACATCATGTTTTTAAGATTGATATCATGATCGATTCATGTTGTGCTAATTAGTTTCAAGAACATAGAATGCCTCTACTATCATAAAATACTGTATATGTGAGATTTAATTATGCAGTTTGACAACAGCCTGTAAAAATGTGAAGTGAATATAGGAATGTGCTCTTAAAGAGAGGAAATAAATACATGTAAATAAATGTACATGTAACCATAAAATAGGGCGTAAAACAGGTACTCAGCTGCACATCACACTACCCGTCAGCTATAAAATAATTGTTATGTGACATATCCCATCTACACTAGCAAACGCACATACAAATATACGATATGCTGTTTATACAGACAAGGTTTCTCGGAAAAACACAGGCGAGCATACCGGTAAACGGTCGAGTTGAGTTGTGTCACATCAGAGTCATCTCGTGAATTTCCTATCAACAGATGACCCTGGCCGGCAATCACAAAGTAGGTGACACTAATAGCACCCTTAGTTGGGATCCGCTGGTGAACATCAAACTGGTTGCGTTCAGGCACCCACTTGTAAACCATAGAGCTGGCAGGATAAACATATTGCATACATATTTAATGTTGTTTTTTTATTTTGAGTGCTGATCTTATAGCTCTGTAGCAAGATAATACTTTGGAAATTATAATGTTTCATGTATGATACAGTAGGCCTAATAACAGTTTAGTTTAGTGATCAATAAATAGTCATCATAATGAAAGCATAATCATGAATAGAAAACAACAAACGGTTTCACTGATGATTTTTTAAATAATTACAGACATGAAATTATGACATATAAAACACTTTATTAAGTACAGCATGAGGACAATACAATTAGCGGCATTTGTGAGAAATAAAGAGTGCAAAACGTACTCAATTTCAAACAGATTCCACTGTGAATCATAGAAATTGGTGATGACCAGGTAGAGATCTCCGTATGTCGTGAAAATGGTCGCGTCACTCGCTGCTTTGCAGGGTATGAACTGTATTGGAACGGGATCGAATTTCTGCATGTCCCTGTTCCACTGCAAGACCTGTTCAACAGCAAAATACAGGTACATCGCGGACAGCTATTTCACGAATTCTAATAAATAATTTTTCAGGTCAATTGCACCTTGGAGTAATAAGTAGTCAGCTTATTACTCCAAGATTGCACTAGTATACATTTGTTCCACACTTACCTCGCTACTTATCAATGTATTTCCATAGTTGTCCTGGCTGTTTGCTACCACTAGGAAGTGCTTCTCATCAGAAGAAAAATACCTAATTGCAGTCGTGCCTTTGGATGCTATATCTTGAACCTGATACAGCAAGAAGATTCTTTCTTATCTATCTGTTTCATCATTCAATCCAACATACCAAAATGATGTTATGTGATATAGAATGAATGTCACAGATTTTAAATGACAGTCATAAAACGTCCACTCGATTACATCGCTAAAACTGAATATACCTACCACAGACAATGTGCCATTTTGCATGATATGGTAGAGCATTGATATGACTTCAACATCTCCCATACCACCATGGTTAGCAATGGCCAAATAAAGCTTGCCAGCTAAGCTGAATGTTGTCGCACTCATTGCACCATCCGTTTCAATAGTCTGTAATGTGCAAGAATTTATTTGTAACATATGTTGAAAGTTTCTTCATTTAATCAACATTGATACCGACTATCTATAACAGCATTTTTTCATATGTATTACATTACATAGAGAAAACATAAATTCGGACAGCTCTGTGGGAATATTACAATAGGTATTAGTTTTTATTATTAGTTCACCTGAGCAGGAATGAAAGTTCCTTGCCACCGCCACATAATGCTGCCGGTCTCGTTGCCATAGCTCCTTATGCCAGGCAGCAGTGCTGAGCCAGGTAATCTAGTACGCGGTTCACCTCGGGCCATGGAACTCAGCGTTAGCACATACAAGTAGTTGTGCGCAAAGAAACTGTGAACTCGCAGAGAAGTTATCATCGGCAATGTCTGAATCATGGGCAGGATTAACATTGAGCCCTCTGCAATACACAAAGGTTAATATAGAATTAATTAAAGAGTTGGGTATGTTTTAGAATATGTAGAATTAACTTGTACTGCTAGATACAACTGTGTAATACATGAACATGAGGACATGCGTTATATATCCGAACCTTTTTAGGTTATAGTGTGATATCTGTACATTTATACTACCTATTCATGAATGTAAATAAATAAATAAACAATATAACAATATATATATATATATATATATATATTAATTATTAATTTTTCCTATCAAATCTAAATTAATCAACATATTATTAGTGTGTTAAATTACCATTTTACTTTAAAAGCCATAGTTAAATATTCAATTCTGATCAAGCTACACACAAAACTCAAATAATAGTATGGACAGAAAAGTAAGAAATCTATCACTCACAATATATCACATAAGATATGAAGCGATAACATACAGATCAGTATGATATATTCTCACACATACCTTCCCCCGTAGCTGAAACTTGCTCGGTCATGACAACAGCCGTCACTCTTCCTAACACACCCCGTGAACGCACTACATCCACATACACTGTTCCGGAATCCTCTTGTACGGACACGATGGATTTGTTTCTGCGCATAATCACAGCATCTTATGAAATATAAACGTCATAGACTATTCCTGGATTTACTCGTGCACAAAGCGAAGGTGTAAATAAATTACAAATGTCTACACGTTTGGGCAGCCATCAAAAACCGATCTGACTTCAGCGACCCACCTTTAGACCACCATCACCACCTAGGGATTATGAACCACTGTTGTAAATATATCGTTTTCATCACAGTAGATATTGGAAATAAGTAACGGCCTAAAATTCCTAGTCATATATGTTTCAGATTTTGCTACCTAACATTAAGTCACAAATAATCACATCGAGCCGAACATGATTATAGTACATCCATCTCCTACGTTATGCAGTATCTGACAAGTACAAAACAATCGGGAAAACAAACTGAATAAAGTGCTCTGTTTATACTTCAAGCCACTCCTGACTGAAGATCAGGAAAAGATTGAGTCAGAAGTCTGATTGACTGAGAAGTCAGAAAAACATTAAAATCTCCAAGAAATCGATTTCTACCTGACATTGTGAGGGTATATCTCAATAAGGCCATGCGGTGCATCATTTTCTGCTATGTATATGTAGCGGTTAGCCATTGTTCCAAGCTGACCTCCACCCTCCGGTTTAAACAGCTCTAGACGAAATAACTCCTCTTTCTCTGGAACGTTGTCTTGTATTGCTCTTATTTGGAGAACCTACATAACAGCAGATAAACGTATAAATACAATGTCTGATCCATGGCTATGATAAATAGTCATTCTTACAGCATTATTTGCAGTATTTATTACAGCTGCATTATAATAAAATACATATTATTATTTAGATCAATCATTATTGGTATACGATAAGAAATATATATTATTGCCGGAATTTAAGACTCTGACAAGTTTCAGCTGAATTTTTCTACAAGCTTTAGAAAATTTGTTATTTTGCTGCTATAACTATATAAAGTATTTACACTTAAGGTTTACCTCTTGCTTCAGGGTTAATAAAAACACGAATATTTTTCTGAAACAATTTCATAACTGTGAAAGCACAATAAAACAAGTCATATAAATCATTTTTCATATTTTATATATTGAAAAAGAGGTGTAATGGTTGCCTACAGCAACTGATTCCCTGTCGGCAAAGGTGATATAGCCATTCATGGGGTCAAGGTCACCCTCTTGGTCACTGCCATTCACCACTGTGATGAGGAATGGAACTCGAATGTTTCCATAGATGCCTGGTCCCCTATAATCAAATAAAGTTTGTACAAATAACTGTCACTGATCACTGTCACCTGCTGCCAAATTCAGAAATTCTGAAGATGGCTGTCAGAACGACAGCTGAAACTGTCAAGGTAAACAATTTAAGGATTTAACCATGAACAATGATGTTATTAATGTTTCAAAAGAAATCCGACTATGAACTTTCAAGATGTACAAATAACATTTCCAATAAAAACCCCAACTGAAGCAATTACATTGAGAGACATTTTTGCTTTATTAGCATATTCATCATGATTATTATTCAGTTATTATACCATTGTGCAAGGACTGGTGAATATAAAATTGTTAGTGCTATTGACATGGACACCTAACCTGAATAGCATCTGGGATTTACGTCCCCACATGCACGCAGTCAGGTGAGTGCTGTGTTGGTAATGAAATACATCTGCACTGGCGGATCTAGAGGGGGGTTGGGGGGGTCGCAACCCCCAACCCCATTCAGCCACTGACTAATGTTATGATACTAATAAAATCGCGCCAAAAATAAAAAAAGTCAGTCTGCAGGCTGATAGAAACAGGATTTCCCCTGTGACTACACGGCTGCCTGAATTTTCTAGGTGGGAGGGGGCATACCCCTGAACCACCCTAGCACCGCGTGCCTTCGGCATGCCTTCGGCATGCCTTCACTCAAATATCACCCACCCCCCCATCTCCTGAAAGCTAGATCCGCCCCTGATCTGTACAGTAGGGTTCTCTACCTTATCACGCGCACATCCACAACACTTCCTCCTGGATTGCCTGAACTTGGTTCCCGTATGTATATGTTATCACTGCTTTCAAAGTTCACCGTCCCTGCTGCATTATCATTGGGTAGTATAGTCAGCGTCGCTACAAAACAATGAAGTAAAGTATTCAAAATTAAATTGTCCAAGTAAAAATGAATAACTTACATTTAAATGGGATTTGATATTTTTTCTCTAAATAAACACTTAATCTTAATTGTTGGTTTCATTAAATGAAATATGTCACTTATACGGCCAAATTGACCGGAAAATTGCTTTATCTGGATGCTCTGCTTTACAGTTATTATAGATAAAACTAAGATATTAATTAATTAACTAATTAAATTATGGAATTATACCTTTATGAGGTTCCCCTAGTTGCAACCCGTTGCTGGCTGAGGCTAGGATGATCTCAAAGGTCTCACTAGGCTCTGCTATATCATCATCAATTATCTGCACCTGAATATCTTTGGCTCCTTCACCAGCAGCAAAACGCAGCTCCTATCCAGTAATAAAGTAACGCCATGAAGCCACGTTTATCAAATTCAATATACATATAGATTCATGCTATCACTAAGACACACAAAAAGGTATATTTGTGTTATTGTTTGAAACAGTAGACGAGGTTGTTTTGGTATAACCAAGTTTGGCTCAGTTAAGTTCATCAACCCCTCAATAGACATATGAGAATGCTATACATTTGTAAATATCTAAATGATAACAGGATAAGTATCACAAGTTGCTTAATGAAGGACGAATGTCTTAAGATCTTATCACATTCTAGCAATGAGAATTGTACAGTATGATATTTGGCATGCAGTTCATGATAGTATAATTGTTAATATTTTAACGAAAATGCAAGCAATTATAGTGTATATAGTAGGCCTACAAATGAAATTTAAATTATAGGAATTCAATAATAGACATATCTATCTACATGGTAATTTATAATAATTAATGTCCCCAGCTAATGAAATCGAAAATCTTATACAAAACAACAAACTTAATCTCATGTATCACCAACACCAGAGATGCACTCAATTTCTAAACATAGACAATACCTGTGCAGCCACGATAAAGTCATCATCAGCTTTAGCTCCCTCTGGTGGTACAGACTGGCTATAGTAGAACACTGATACATCGCCGAAATGCCCCTGACTGCGGTAGATGTGCAGTGTCACGTTGCCAACCGACTCATCCACATTCAAATTGATAGACTCTGGTGTGAAATGCACCATGCCTTGCGTCCCATCATTGGCACTAATAGTGATCTGCGCTGTAGACGACTGTGGATCTGTGTCAAGTTCAAAAAGAGGTCTACTGAAATTGAATGCTTGAAAAAATCAAGTGTGAATAACATGCCACAAACTATATTGTAGTGTAAAAAGGGTCATTCCAAGACGGTTTGTGTATAACAATGCTATATCGTATATGCAGCATTCTTACCAAGGCTGGGTTGCATAGATGTCGCGAATCGGCTAAGCAATTCTACCGATGTCAGGTTGACCAGAAACACCTCATCAACTTCAGGTATATCATCATCCAAGATCTCAACCTTTATTGTGTTCGACTGCTGTCCACTAGCCAAATCTAAATGTGAAGGTAATTCAAAGGTATTGTCAACATGCCTTCTTCAACCAGCTATAACGGCGGTGCACTGCAATAAAATAAACAGACACACATGCAGACAGATATATACACACGCACAAACACACAGCATATGGTGACATAAAATTACCACTGTGTGCTTATGAGTTAGTAGAATGAAAATGCTAAACCCATCCACCAGTACCGATGTATCCTTGATAAGGTATGAAGTCTTGCCAAGGTATGGCGAGCATCAAGTCCTCACTCAAAGTACTCAGCGATCCATTAACTACCTCAAAGTACACACGCACAGCACCTACAAGTACATGACACAAACCACCCATTAGTCACCCAGAGCACGCATGCACAACTAGCGGAATACACCATGTAGAAACCACCATTAGTACCCAAAGATTTACACACTGGAACTGCTATATGGGCACATACCTTCAAAAAGAAAAGAAAAAAAAGGTTCATTGCTATATTTTCAATTGCATGAATCAAAAAGGTTTCTTGGATTATATGCCCAAATAGCAATAACATGATAGAGAATATGATTCCCAGCTCAAGCAAGGAGTATATTAGCATTAATTACACATTCACGGCAGATATAGGTACATAGTACAAACCACTTGTTATATATTGTCTTAAGTACATATGCAGGATAGCTGCATGATCACAATGGGTGAGTCCATCCAGGCGTGGGCAAAACGATGGAGATGCAAAAGTAGACAGTTAGACTATTTTTCAAGGTAGTTGTTATGTAATGTTTTTTTTTCAAATATGTAAGCCTCGAGATATTTCAGATCAACTCATTACAAATTGCAATTAACGATCTTTTAACCCACTTGACCTGTGATAATATTATAAGCAGTGAGATTTCATGAAAACTATATAGTAACAGAACACATTTACAGTTCATGGAGATGCTGCCATAAATATGTGTGCAATTATTTCCATATGAAATACTACTAAATAATACTTACTGCTTACAGTATCACTGATGATGCATGTTTTAATGCATCATATTCTTACCAATAGCACCAAACTTGCGCTGTACAGTAAGGATGATGGATTTGTTTTGCTCTGCTTCGTTGAGTCTCACAGCTTGGGAGGAGGGACTGAAGCTGACGACCCCATGGGGGTAGTTTGATGCATCAATAGTTATACTAGTCCTGTCAGCTTGCTCGTCAAAGTTTGCTGAACCGGAGTCACGAATTCCTGCGTAGAACAATTTTATAACTTTTACATTCTTCAACCTCGACATTTCCGTATAAATATTGAAAAAAAAACTGCACTTCTTACTATTTTCAAATTTCTAACTAGAAGGGGAGGGTGGGGGGAGGGGGAGGGTGGGGCAGGGCGGGTGGAGGAGGCTCTAATAGGCAAAAGCAGTTCAGTCCTTTGTTAACAGTCAACAAATCCATGTTTTAACCCTCCTCTTGAGGTCAAAGGTTATCAGACACTTACTCTTCGCACGTCAGCGAAAAGTAAATTTCATGGTCCTTTCAATAAAGTGATAAAAATAGTAGGTCAGCGCTGAAACAAAAAGGTTTTGCACTCGGTCCATTAGACCATGTCCTCAGAAAATGTCCCAGATATTTGACCTTTTCCCCCTGCCCTTTGACCTGTGACCTCCAATTTCGCGCTGGTGATGGGTTTCCTCCCCATCACACTATACATCGAATATTAAGAGCATAGGTCAAGACATTGAGATTTGTGCCGCAATTCCATATTTCCTCCTATACCTTAAGTTAAGGGGAAAATATTCCCCCTCCAATGACACATCTTGACCTTTGACCCCCAAATTCGACATCCCGAGTCCTTTTCGCGATCTCCCGACATCCCGAATATCAAGACCATACGTCGAGCGGTTAAGATTTAATTGTGCCCAACTGTTGACGGGTGGAGAGCCCCATTCATGCGATTTTCTACAAGCTGCATCTGACTTCGTCAGCTGAGCTAAAAACCCTTACAAACAATTTTAATGCTTACACGATATCAATATGTATGCAGTGTTGATAAAAAGTTAAAATATTGCATATCCTTGTGCATAGTAATGCTGTGACAATTAACGATACCTTCAGTTGTGGCGTTGAACAGCAGAAGTTCGTATTCCTCCTTCTCCTCCGGTGTGTCATCACGCAAAACTTCCAGTGTAACCTCCTTCCACGTCGCTCCCTGTAAAGCAAAGATGTTCATAGTTCAAGCAGGACATCTGGCGGGAAACTTATCTCTACATCAGTATCTTCATCTATACAATTACAATGACATTTTAAATAAGAATAACATGAAACATTTTAGCAATGCACTTGCGCAGCACGTTTACACCTCTTCGACAACATACTTCCAAATACTGTCTGTATATATAACTACCTTTTGAAACCAAGCATGGCCTTGATGCTGTTTGAAGGTGGATGCAGGGTGCACACCACTCAGCCCCTCAATGAGCCAGTATACAGTGACATTGCCTAGAGCTGGTAGAGTTCTAGTGATGTTCACCTTCATCACGTCACCTATATAGATTACAATGCTTATAAGGAGTAATTCTGAATGTGGAACAATTTTTTCTATCAGATGAATTAACCTTCGTTCTGACCATAACTACAAATACATAAATAAACATTTTAAACACTCTATTTATTCTATAAATTCATTAAAAATGAAACAGTTTTTACACTTCGAAAAATTAAGTTCAAAATTAATTCAGTTTTAAACACAGCTCAAACGTAAAAAGCAAGTATAGCTATTTTTACACGCATCTCATATAGTGTATATAAGAGCAAAAGATGCACTAGGTTTAACAACATCAATCTTGATTCATTGCTGAAGTCAGGATAAATGATATCTCAACAAATGCAGCCGTTTTCATTTCAACAATTAAACAAAAATGTAAACCTACCTTCTCTGGCTATTAACGAGTGTTTAGAGAGGCCAAGCAATCCTGCCACTTGATCATTTGCCTTAATGACTACGGTGACCTGGTTTTGGTCAGCAATAGCTGCACCACCTCCTGGGTTAGACACCTCTACTACAATGTACTCATCCATCTCTGGTTCCCCATCATCTTTAATTCCAATAGTAATAACTGCAAGCCGAAAAGCAATTGTCTTCCTAGATCACTTCACACAACATCGACATAACTAATTTCATTAGGAATATAATTCTATAGTATAAACATATAAAACACATGGAAGCGTGATTCAAAAATTTCTTTCTGTCAAGTTGTAGCAGAAAGTTGGTATAATTGATAACAAATTTTGCAGATGTACACAACAATCTACAATTATAAAGAGATCAAATCTGTGGCACTGCTTAATACTAGGGTTATATAAATACAAAAATTTAATGACATACCACGTTGGTTCTCTCCCGGCTTAAAGTTTAGGATGGCACCATCAGCGACATAGTCAACATTCCTAGTTGCCGTCGTCAAGCTCTTATTGACAGCCCATTCAACTGTAACCTCACCTATATTGCCACCTGTTAAAGTTAAAACCTATGGTTTAAGCTTTTAATTCTTTATCGAAAGCAGAGACTATGCAGAGAGAAGAACTCATTATCAGTATTAGCTTTATAGTTTCCCAAATCAATAGTTATAATATTTTATAATAGTCTCTTTATAAATAGAAACCTACACGAATAATGGCCTTTTATTATGGCTCCATAGCCATTCAGTAGTGATACTTGGTTATCATATTTTAGCTGTAATCCCTAAAAATGGGCCAAATATCCCAAATCACAAATATCAGCACGTCTCAAATATCAGTAAAAAATAAATGCCACACACAAGTCATACCCAAATCATTTACCAATTAATCATCATCAACCATTTACCTTCGCCTCCCCCACAACGAAAGCGATCACGCAAAAACGAAAACAAAATCGAAACCCGTACGGAAAAAAACAACAACAACGAAACGTCGCACGCACCGCCTCTCTCGATGACAAGCTCAACAGCGAAGTTGCTTCTCTCCTCGACATAGACGCGGCTGCCGGCGTCGGTCGCACGCGGGTCGTTGCTATAGATATGGAAGATGCCGTTCGCGTCGTCGTTCGCCGCTATGGTAACCGTCGCCTCGGCGATCTCGCCGATCACGGGTTTGTTCGGAAATCCGGCGGTCGAGTCGCCGCCGACAAGCTCAACGTGGGAAAGCAGGATGGTAAACAACTCGTCGAGTTCTGGCAGGTCGTCGGGGATGACGTGCACGGGGATGGACGCGCGCGTCTCCGACTCGTTGATGTAGATAAAGTGATTCTGCGCAGACCGGTAGTCGATGTCGGAAAGCGCCTGCGCGCTATAGAGCTGCGTCGTCTGAAACACACGGCGTGCGACGCGTGAGAGAGACGCAGAGTAAATACGGGAAATAGAGAGAAAGAGAGAGCGAGAGAGCGGAGAGGAGAGGAGAGTGAGAGAAAGAGAGAAGAGCGAGGCAGAGAGAGAGGAGAGAAAGAAGAGAGAGAGAGAGAGAGAGAGAGAGGAGAGAGGAGAGAAGAAGAAGTGACAGAGAGAAGAGAAAGTACAGAGAAAAGAGAAAGAGAAAAAGAGAGAAAGAGAGAGTGACAGAGAAAGAGAGAGAGAAAAAGAGAGAGAGAGGAGTGACAGAGGAAGAGAGAGAGAAGAGAGAGAGAGAGAGAAAGAGAAGAGAGAGAGAGGAGAGAGAGAGAGAGAGAGAGAGTGACAGAGAAAGGGAGAGAGAAAGAGAGAGAGAAAAGACAGAGAAAAAGAGAGAGAGAGAGAGTGACAGAGAAAGAGAGAGAAAGAGAGAGAGAGAGAGGAGAAGAGAGAGAAAGAGAGAGAAGAGAGAGAGATAGAGAAAGAAACAGACGGAAGAGAGAACAGAAAGCGAACGAGAGAAAGAACAAGTGCGCGCAGAGGCGACAGCGCTCATCTAACGTCTACTGCGGTGACTCTGTGGTGGAGTGGTGGGATCTCTAGTAAACCCTGTTAGTCCCAAATGTGTTCACATACACGCCGAAACAGTGGAATGCACAGGGATGGTATCAGGACCTTCTCAAAAGAATGTTCGTTGGGATCGTTATGAAAGTTGCCACGAGAGGGCGCGTACAATTAAGTGTCTTCAGCATTAAAGATGGAAGCTCCCATTCATACGTAGTAGCAACAACTATCTGCAAGACAGAATAGGTAAGACTCATCCATTTACCTACGCAAGCCTACAGGCTGCAATAGAGAAGGCTGCACACCTGTAACCAATTAACGCAGGCAAAAACTCAACAGTACCACCAACACATGCACTGGCAGTAGCCACTGAGTGGCATACGTTACATGTAAGCATACTGACAGTACAGAATGCCATAGAAATTATACGATTTAAGGAGCATAAACCTTCTTTAACCAAATTTAGCTTTTGAAAATTTGCACTGTGACATTGTAGCCTGCATATTCCAGGCAGGTATAGATTCTACTAGCAAACCCGGCAGTCAAATTCTTTCTAAACAGACAGTCAACAAATCCATGTTTACCTCCTCTTGGGTCAAAAGGTTATCTGACACTTACTCTTCGCATGTCAGCAGAAAGTAGATTTCATGGTTCTTTCAATAATGCCATAAAATGCTAGGTCACCGCTGAAACAAAAAAGTTTTTCAATCGCTCCGTCAGACATGTCCTCAGAAAATGTCTAAATCTGCCCTGTGCCCATTGACCTTTGACCTGAGACCTCCAATTTCGGCACAGTGATGGCTTTTTCCTACCATGATGCTATACACCGGACTATCACGAGCCTAGGTCGAGCCGTTTAGATTTGTGCCCGCAATTCTGGCATTTCCTCCGCTATACCTTAAGTTAAGGAGTGAATGTTCCCCCTTCTTTTACACCTCTTGACCTTTGACCTTTGACCCCCAGCTTCGACATCCCAACTCGTTTCGATTACCCCCACGTCCCGAATATCGTGACCGTACGTCGAGCGGTTAAGATTTGTGCCGCAACTGTTGACGGACGGACGCGAGCGGACGCACGACGGACGGCGACGCACGGACGCACGGACGATCTGCGATTCTACAAGCTGCATCTGACTATGTCAGATGAGCTAAAAAGAGAGAATATGACAGGCGAGAGAGAGAGAGAGAAAGAGAGAGAGAGAGAGAGAGAGAGAGAGAGAGAAAGAGAGAGAGAAAGAAACAGACGAAGAGAGAAACAGAAAGCGAACGAGAGAAAGAAAAAGAGAGAATATGACAGGCGAGAGAGAGAAAGAGAGCGAGAGAGCGAGAGAGAGAGAGAGAGAGAGAGAGGAGAGACGAGAGAGAGAGAGAGGAGAGGAGAGAGAGAGAGAGAGAGAGAGAGAGAGAGACAAAGACAGACAGACGAGATAGATGAGAGTGTGGTGACACACGACAGGACATGTAAGTAATATACAGTACACCATCTATTATCCGAAACCCTTGGAAACAGACACGTTTCGGAATTCAGAATTTTTCGGATTTCGGAGTTGTAGTACAGTACAGATATACATACCGTAAATCCTGCAACTAGCCAGTACTTAAACCCAAGTGTTCAAGTGTTGTACTGGTACAGTACAATATGTACAACTAATGACAAACACATTCATAGTTCTGCAGTGAACCTTGTGCAGCCGCAGAACGAGAGACGCAGAGCAAATACGGGAAATAGAGAGAAAGAGAGAGCGAGACAGGGAAAGGGAGAGTGAAAGAGAGAGAGAAAGAGCGAGAGAGAAAGAGAGAAAGAGAGAGAGAGAGATAGTGACAAGCGAGAAAGAGAGAGAGAGCGAGAGCGAGAAGAGAGAGAGAGAGAGAGAGGAGAGAGAGAGAGAGAGAGAGAGAGAGAGAGAACGAGAGAGAGAGATGAGAGAGAGAGAGAGAGAAAGAGAGAGACAGAGAGAATGTCATTAGATACTAGTATTAAACCTGACATTGTAGTTGACCGTTGACATGTGGCGGATGTGAGCGGCGAATAACGCTAACGCGTTGCTCATAGCTTCTGTCATAACATGACCAAGTTTACTTTTCATAAACCAAATGTTTTTTTTTAATTATTGAATTTTTTTCCAATAACGGGTTTAATTTAATGAATATTCGCGTTACATTACCAACCTTGAATGCAATATAATATATTTCCAATTAGTAACTATATATATTATATATATATATATATATATATTTAGAGATAGAACACAACTTTATATACAATTAAATGTGTATACACTGTATGGTAACTAAATCTATGAGATATGTTATTTTTTCGTGTTCACTTCATGGTAATAATTTAAAATTATTAGACCTTTTCTCTATACACACACACGCGCGCATACGTGAACGTATAAATACACGCACGCACCACAACGCACGCACGCACGCACACACACATATATATTAACATATATTACAACTCAATTTATAGTGTAATTATTATATATGGTACCTTGAACTTGTCCTTGACGTAAAGCTGTGCTTTTTGACCATACCCAGATTCAGGTGGCGTGATATACGCACTGACACAAGTGACTGTCTGCTTTGTGCTCAAAACTAATTACATGTCTTCTCTATCAGGCAGATAAGAGCACATGGCCTGAAACACATCAGCTCTATTTCATTGCAATGGATATAATGTAAATACATATCATATATGATGTAATAATACATACTACACATTATATGATATAATCAAATAAGCATAGAAAATACAAAGTTCTATACTTATTTCTGTATACATCAACAGGAAGTCCTGGCCATAATAAATTAGCTTGATAATAACAAAACTGTATATATTATAATACATTACAACCTGTTTTACTATATACAGTTTTGTTATTATGTAACTTATTATAGTAATAATTCTAAACAAAGCTATCTCGCATAACATAAGCAGTGAATAAAAACGAATTGTTTTTATATTCAATTATTAATAACAAAACAAATTGTTTTTATTCACTCCAAAATAATACGCAGCACATGATGTTCAAGACACACCTACACTTCTGATTTTGTGAACATCGGTATACTGCACGGTTTAGTTATGTTCAGTACACACAGCTAGATGTAAATATCACAGTGCTATCTTTGAACCATGCCACACAAAACTCGTCTAAACCTATTGAAGATATGAAACTGTGGTCAGTTTGTTTGTACTATCTGACTCGTAGCATAAACATTATAGTGCAAACTTGTAGCGCAGTTGCCACGTAATTTAATTGGATCTTTTGCCAAAACAGTTCAGTGCCGGATGTATCTTCTTACTTCTGTATATAAGTACAAAAAATAATGCGCCATGTGATTGCATATATCCACGCACTAAAAATATCACCGAGTCAAACTAAAACCTTGCTGGGATAATTCTAGTGCGTTTCGTCAAATGTTGCAGCACACAGACGTACAGAAAAATCGTGAATGTGCAGCAAATGCATTTACGAACAGAGAATAATATAAATATCATGACTATTTCAATGCAAGTATAACAAAGACGTGTGTTTTTATACATGAACAGATAACCACACTAAACTCACAGAGATGTCGTTTTCAGTTTCACTAGCCTTCAATAAGAATAGGAATAGGTATAGATAATGTAATCATATATTAACACTGTTTTATATAAACGCCACTATGCATACATCATGAGACCCTCTTACCTTAATTCGTCATCATAATATTATTGGTTTTGATGTTATGACGATTACTATATATGTAAAAAAAATTATCAAATTTATATAATTGTTGTATTAATTGGTTGTGATTTTTTCTGATGTAACGAGACATATATTTATAATCAAAGGGAAACTTTGTGATGGCATTCACCAATTCAGTATTTCTCTTTATCTATTATACATATGCCAAAGCCAAAGATCACACTTGCTCAGACCTTAATGTTTTCGACAATGACACTGTCTTTTCCAAAAAAATAAAGGTAAGTATGTTCTTGGAATATAGCAAACAATGTAAATATACTTACACTCAGCGAAAGAAAAAGACATTATGAGACAAAAGGAAATTATTTTCTAAAATTTGAAAAATGTGTTACACATATACCTCTAAAATAGGACAGTTAGAAATCGTGCAGAAACAGAAACCTGCTACATATCAGGCAAAAAATGAAAATAATGTTACCTTATAATCACCTCACCTTATATCTAATAGACACGAACCGAAACGTCTAATAAAACCACAACAATGAGATAGATGAACCGACTCTAGCACGAAAAGACATAAGCGAGAGAATGACGATGTCAATGGCTTAATATTTACCTGGAGAGGTTTTGGCGTTCGCCCAACATCCACCACATTTGCCGACCGTTTTGGGGGATAGCCACGCTCCACACTGAAATAGTCCACCTCTCTTTTTCCATGAGCGTTTACAAGGTCTGCAAGATCCATCTTGCTTTTGTCGAGTAGTAAACTTTCAGCTGGCCATAAGTAGCACCACTGACGGATAAAAATCAAATTTTATTATTGGACAATCGACGAGTCATTCAATACATATTATGAGATGGCAAAGGCTGTGCCAATTGTCACCTATGCATTTACTGAGAAACAATATTGAAGCAATTGCTTGTGTGTGTACGCTTAAACAGCCTCTACAACAAAACATAGGAGAGATATGTTGGGAATACGTATACATGTAATCAGGAGTAAGATAATATAGATCTATATTATCTTACTCCTGATGTAATTAACCAGTTAGACAAAGACATGAAAGAAATGTCCTTTAATGACAGCACAGCCACAGCTATCCTCATTGTCAATGTGCATGGGTAGGCAAGATTCATCTCAGGAATTGCTGAAGGAATGTCTGGGGCAATCAGGGAAATTCATCCCAAATCGCTAATTGGAATCAATTCTACAGGCATAGCACCGCTAACACGAATCCAATACACAAGGAAAATTCGATCAATTTGGAGATAGTATACGCTGCATCAAGTTGTGAAAACACACAGGACTGTGATAGGGTTGTTAAAAGTAAACGCCACTGCGAAATTAAGGCATGTCAATTGGGCAATTAAGGTATGTCTGAGAATTTATGGACTGTCTCAAACTAAGCTTTAGCTCAGAAGGAACATCTCACAAAACATGCATTAAAGGCCTGGAGAGTATACACTGGGTGAGAATGTATTATTCGTTTTCAATGCAATATGGATGCCGAAATATAGCACTTACATTTCCTTCATGCACCAGCAATACTCACATTCTATGCAGCTCAATATCTTGAGGCGTCAGTTGTTTCCAGTTCTCTACCAGGCTAACTAGTTAACCGCTTTTAGCAAACTCACGGCCCCATGTGGGTTGCGGTTGCGCCAATGCCATCCGTCAACGTATTACACATTGGCATATCTCTTCATATGCCGTGCATCATCTAGTTTGCCTTCTCATTAGCGAATTTCAACAACCTATAGAATATATTACTCATGATATTAAATATATATATATATATATATATTATATTATATGTTTGTGTATATATATATATATAATTATATACATTACTATACGTATATTACCCTATTATCATTATGTCATAGTATTAGTTATTATCCAGTCAGGATCCTTAAATTCTTGGGTTGTTACTTATGCGCAGCTATTCGAATGCTCATAACTCACCTTTCAGGGCCCTTCTGTATGTCATCAGCGTAGCAATTGAAAACATTGAAGTGCTGTCTAGCTTCATGGTGTAGTGACAAAGTTACAGCTGCTGCCACTGGTGGGTTTTATTCAGCTTTTTTGACTGCACCTCCTGCAACACAGTTTGATCAATAGAGCAACCAACACAGATTAAGTTAAGGACATATTTAACAGCTGACCAAGAAATCAAAGTACTTATATTATGCTGTTTAACAAGAACATTTATATGATTTTGGCTTTGTAAAAAAGAATTTTCCAGAATTGCTATCATTAATATAAAAATTATATTTATGTTACAATATTATGTTTTAGTAATTTTTGGAGACTATACTGTACATAGAATTTAACCACTTACGCTTGAGGATAATTTAGTTGTTTATCATATTTCTCAAAAGTTTATTTCTAGTCACTACTAGCCGTAATAAACACAAATAACCACATGCACACAATTACCGAATAGAAACAACAAAACACACACAGTAAGAACTCACCAGTAAAGAAAGCTGTCCAGGTGACACCAACAACACCCAGCTCTGCCACCAGTTCTGATCACAGTTATACGGTATTGACACTGTTAAGTGCCTGCCTTCGGGCTTCTTCTGACATACGCACTAACACTCTCAAACCTGAATAAAAAATTTATAAAAATCATATTTATAAAAATATTATCATAATTTATAAAAAAATCAAGAATAAATTTTAAACAAAGGATAATATATAAAAAACCACTTGTAGCCCATTGATCAAGACTGTTATTTAAAAACCGCTGGATGAAGAAAGGCTTCTTTCAGCGTTAATTGCACTTGGTTTTATTAAATGTTAGTTTTTATATATGGATATATAACTAGTTCTAAAATAGTTATACCTACCAAACAACGAAAGATTTCATAGCAGCTTATTTGATTGTAACGCACTTTGATAGTAATATTATAGGGTTTATATAAGGCTAAACAGAATGGCTATAAGATAATTTGAATTTAAAAATTGAATTAATTGATTTAATTTATAATTGATTAAAGAAAATAATTGCACAGTACATACTTTGAAGCTCCACGTGGATCATCAGACTCATACTATCACGACTCCTCTGTCTCCCTCACTGGACCAACTACAGCACCTCCCGTTGTCTGCGTTAGTCAAATCGTGATTGTGAAAGTTTCTGCCAACTCAGGCAGCAACTGTCAATTGATAATCACGATTAGGACTTCCTTTTCGGGTCACCACTGTAGGAGCACCACCTCCCGAGAACGCAACGCTGTAGTCTAAACCTTTGCGTTGCATTGCCCATGGGTAACCAGAAACTTCACAACTCACCTGAAACACATTTAATAAAGATTATATATATATTAAATTATACTTATTAGTTCAATTCCTTATTACTATAATTTCGAATGTTTTTCTTTTCTTGAATTGAACTTCATATTATATGAATTCCTATAATCAATGCTGTACTACGTTTTATTAACTTCAGTTCTATTCAGAAAACGTTCTTTAGAAACGTGTTTCTAATTCATTCATGTCAGCAGAAAACATTTTATTATAAATTATATTACAGTAAAAACCCGAAAGTTAAGGAACCTGCATTTTCGCCCAAGTGTAGCCTACACAGCGTTCTTAATAAATCGGCGTACTTAGACAAATTGAGGCTATTATAAGGTTCTTAAATAAGGTTCATATTTTCTAAAGAAAATTCCCAAATGTTTTTCATGGGTATATGGTTCCCTGGCTTCGAATGTTCAGTCATTTACAAGCACTCTTCCATATTGCTGATGTGTAGGCCATGGAGATATAAACATATATATACAGTATTTATGGCTAATTGCCAACAATAACAATTCTAATTTAGATTTTCAACATTGCGCATTTACATGTGTATTAAATTGGAGTGATAAGGTGTAGTGTGTAGTGTGGGTCGCGCTGAATGTGGTGCTGTGCCTGTGCGTTTGCGCTCGCGGTCGGATGTGAAAGTGTCTCCAAAAAAGGATCCAAATGTTTTATCTATCTTTTTCGCCCAACTGTAACATCTTTTATTAGATTTAGAAAATAAGAACCTGTTTCAAATTTTAGGCTAAACAGGCTCTTCGATTAGAAGGGGGTATCATAACTGGCAAAATTTAGGCCTAACAGGTTCTTAAAAAACCTGGTTCTTACTCGCAGGTTTTGTACTGTATTACATATTATCAGGCGAGAATACTGGAGGACAACCTGACAAAATTCCTCCTTTCCGAATTACTTTAACACTATACCATTGACCACCACTTTCTTCTGATACTGTAAACACTTCTCTTATCAAGCTTCCAAGAACGCCATTGGCATCGGTCGTTGGCAAGATGATAATTTCTCCATAAGACAGTGTCAGATTGCTCCAAGCCTTGGCGGAGTTTGGAACTGTAAGTACATGTGAATGAGATTAATAATAGCTTGTGCCTTTTTTCTCTTTGCTCTCTTGCCCTCTCTCTCTCTTCCTCTCTCTCTCTCTCTCTCTCGCTCTCGCTCTCGCTCTCGCTCTCTCTCTCTCTCTCTCTCTCTCTCTCTCTCTCTCTCTCTCTCTCTCTCTCTCTCTCTCTCTCTCTCTCTCTCTCTCTCTCTTCTCTTCCGCTCTCTCTCTCTCTGCTCTCTCATGTCCATCTATATCATCGGTTTCTCTTTTATTCTGCCTGAAAGGCTGTCATGAATTTCACGCTCTGCTATTTACTCCCAGCTTTGATCCCACAATAAGGATGAGCTCCGTGCCACATCTCCCTCCTCATACTCACTTACGTTACATTTCTTCATATTCACAGCTTGTCCTTCTCACCTGGAGCGTAATGATTTTGCCTGGGAGAAATGTTACACTTGATTAGCACTACAAATAAGCTCTTCTGCTGTCTCTGAATGTTATCGTCCAAAATGGTTAATCTGTGTAGATAAATTTATATCAATTAATAATTTAAATGCAAAAGGAATTCATACATTTAAGATTAGTTAAAATACTTTGGATATGCAGAAAATCTCTTAATATAATACAAAAATTAAATCTTTTTGCCAACTTACCCGAAATGTAGCATTCGTCTGGTTGGGCTGAAATACCACTGTGCCTTTTAGCGGGCATAAAATCCAGTTCTCCTGCTCTTCCAAACAACTAGTGGTAAATATGGGGAAGAAATCTGTAGGCTCAGAGTGGTGTAGTTGACCATCACCATACCCATGTCACCGCCATGTCGTAACACTTTCATCTCAACATCTACAATGAATAATGCAGATAATAGAGAGAATGCTTACTTTGTGTCTACAACAGCTTGACATATTGACAATAATGACTATAAGCTGACACCGATATATATATAGTACTAATTATAAAAATAAAGAAAAAATCTCAAAAAAGAAATCTAAATATAGATAATACTCTATTTCTGATACAAACGCCCCCCCACCCCCCCCCCCCCCCGCCACCCCCCCATGCAAAGCTTTTAGAGAAATTATACTCTGACGTTTCATGATTATATTGCTACTACGCTATGGCCCATTTATCATAATATTGAGGCAAAATGCTTTAAAATGGGATGACAGAAATTCATTCAACATGACACGTAACTACCAGATTATACCTTTACTGGCTTCCTCCACCAGTATAGGTCTAGCAGTTTGGTCAATGCTAAACACTCCATACGGGTCATCATTTGCAAGAACGGTTAGAGAAGAAGATGACCTTAGCATTGTCACCAAGTCGCCCTCTCGTGACAGAATCAAGCTTAACCAGGAAGGCTTCGTCAAGCTCCGGAATAGTATCACCAGCAATCTGTAAAACCAATCCGTTTTAATCCCTGGTTTAACAGTGCAATTATTCTGCTTTACGGATAGTAAACAATATCATTCAAATCGGATTTACCATCGCCCATATAATAACATAGAGCACTCGCGAAGCGCAGACCTCTCGCCAAGGTCAGCTCAATTCTCTCACTGTGAAAATTTTTATTAATTAATTAATTCAATTATAATAAATTAATTGGATCCGGATCACCACCAAAATGTCATCAATATTTCTTAACGCTTTACCCCATTTTCTGGCACTTATCCGGAAAATTTTATTTAAGTAAATTAATTAATTGGATCCGCGATTCACCACCAACAATGTCAATCAACTTCTAAGTTACCCCATTCTCTGACCTATCCTGAAAAATTTTATTAATTATTAATTATATTGGATCCGGATCACCACCAAAATCTAATCAATTCTAAGTTACCCCATTTCTGACCTATTCCTGAGCAATTTTATGGACAATCCGTCCATAACTTTTTCAGTATAGGCTGTACACAAACAAACAAACGCCACAAACACCACAAAACCACAAACACATGCCGGTCTGAAAAACATAACCTTCCTGCAAACCCCTTGGCGGAGGCTAATTATGGGATGTTTTCATACACACGACTGAATTTCAATATTCAGCCACTCTGCCTCTGTCCCTGGCTGCAGGAACACGACTCCGTTTGGTGTTCAATATATCATTGATCGGGATCAGGACAATACCTATCCAGTACACCAGTAGCATTGCCCGATAGTTCCGCCTAGCCGGTGAACCTACAAACCAATAAATATAGTATCACAATAAAGAAAATGATGTGGCGCACTGGTACAGCAAAAACACATTATATTTCAGAAACACGTCAGAAAAAAGTAAAACTGGACACAATCTTGAATTTTGCTTCCTCACCAAGAACGTATGCTTGCCTGCACGTTACCCATGCCACGAACTGCTTAATTGACATCTACAGTTGAATAAATAAGATTAACATTAATCAAAATTGTTTAAATACCGTGAGATGTATAGGTGTAGATCCAATATCTGTTAACTCTTGTCCTTGAACACTTAATGATGTATCTGCAAACTGGAACATGCCATATGCATCGTCCGACGAAGCAATGATGACCTTGATAGTCGACCCAACGCCTGTGCAAAAAATAAAATTCAGTATATTTGTCATATGGTCCCTCTTCCTTGCTCACCCGCTTTCTCACTCCTTCATTCTCTCCCTCCATTCACCCCCTTCTCTATCACTCCTTCTCCTTCCCAAACTCTATATATTTCACTTTCCCTGTCTCTCTCACTTCACCTCACTGTCACTCTCACTTAACCTTTTTCTCTGTCTCTGAATAATAATCACCTATCTGTGCTCCACCGGTTGGGTTCAGCAGCTCCACTTGAAACTCCTTCTCTCCTTCAGGCAAATCATTGTCTAGGATGGTGATGTTGATAGTTCTGTACTGCACACCCGGTTGAAACACTGCACTCGAACTTGACCTCTGTACAACAGAACACAGACAATTAGTTTGCTAGCAACATGATTTGCACTTCCTATATAAATAAAGTACATTGGCACATGTTTCTGTCAAATACAACAACAATTTCAATCATAAGTAACCTAATAAGACTTACAGGTATTATACACATTTTAGTCGTATTCACCAAAGATAACTTTAATTATTTTTATACTTAAGAAGCAAGCGTTACTGCATTTACGTTACAGTGACTATGCGAACGTCTCAAACAGTAATTTTTCAGAAGCGATGCAATGTAGAATGCAATCGTAATGCATTCATACTAGATACACTACAAAGGAAGGTGATACAGATAATGAAGATGTCGTGAAAACTGCACCAAGTATACTGAACATGGTGCATTGGGTCTTGCAGCTACAACAAACATGAGATGCATCAGACAGTCAGACAAATGGGGATGACTTCTATTTAATACTTCCTCACCAAGCACATTCAGTGATTAATGCAATTTTGACATACATAGGGATACATATATATCAGGAATAGATAATAGGGAGGAGTGTGACATCAATAAACAAGGGAAATTCGTCATTTACTAGCCTTATAATACCTACGATTTACTACGCGTAACTCAAATCGGACACAGTACATTCGCCTATCATCGT